AAAACCCCCCCCAGCCAGTGTAGACAGGCGGCAAGATTTTCTGCAAAAGTAACCACTATGCACAAAATCTTGCCAGTCTAGATGCAGCCCCAGTGTATCTGCAAGAGCAGTTTTGTGAGTAAGAAGATGCCATTTTAAATAGTCACCTTTTAGAGTTGGAAAACTTTTAAACATTTCTATGTTTTTTAAAGCAAGGCCTATTCACAAGCCCAAACTATCCGACAATATCTGTAGTCTGCCCTGAGATCCTTGCATGAGAGATGTTATAGAAGGCCAAAGCATAATTATTTCAAAACAGGTAAAAAACAACTTCCAGTATCTTTTAAAAGACAGACCATAGCAATAGATAATTATATCTATAGATATATTAGATCTCCAAGTGGCCATCTTGTCACAAACCAATTCTACAAGCCAAATACTCAGAGAGGCATTGGAATTACTACAATTCATCCACAAATTCAATTCTCACATTGACGACCTCCGCAATCGAGATAACGGATGGCTGGAACATTATCAACGTAACATTCAATGAAGGTGACAACAGCTCTTTGTCTGTGTAGATTCTTGCATTAGTATACTTCCTCTCTAATTGCTATCCTTTGATCCTTATCTGCTTCTTTTAACTATCTAATTTTTAGGTGCTTATAGATTACCAGTTCTGCCTACTTGTTTTTCCCTTTGATATTTTCATACCCTCTGCTCCTTGTTTCCCACCCCCTTCTTTTTTTTCTCCCCCTCCACCCTTCTCCCCTATGTATTTTGAGTCTGCACATCCTAAACTCAAAACTCTGGTCATCTGAAGAAGTGGGCAGTGCCCACAAAAGCTCATGATACCATCTACATGTTTTGTCAGAAAATCAAACTGAACCATCCAGAGGTTGACACTAAGCCACCCATGTTCCGAGCACTTACCACAGTGAAAATCAGCCCTAAATAAATATCACAGTGAAAATCAACCCTAAATAAATACACAGAAATGTTTTTCTGTTCTTCTAATGACCACTCTGAATGTTACTATCTAATTTTAGCAGGCTGTTTGGCACCTATCTTTGAAATTATCTCTGAATTTTCTGCACGCCCGTTTCCCCAGAAGCCTCCCCTTTGCAGCCTATCCAGGAAGTCAACAGAGACAATTTTAAGGGTCTGCGAGATGTAAGGAAGAAACAGGTAAGGAAGAAACCTGGGTGGTTTTTGGTTTAGTGGGTGAACCATTGGGAAAAATGTTTTGGATCAACCCAACCGTTTTATTTGATTTTCAATTTTTTGATCGTTTTAGATTTTTTAAAGATAAAGTTGATGCAATTTTTTTTAAATTTCAAATTTAAAAAATTAAATGTCTTGTTTCAAAAACGTCAAGACAAGATAGGGTTTTTTTTGGGGAAAAAATTGCTTTTCTTTTTTTTTTCCAACCAAAACTATTTACTGAATTCAACTAAATAATGAAATGTTTTAGTTGACCTACATCTAGGGATTTTTTTGGAGCAAAAAAAGTTTAGTCTGAAATTTTGTTCTAGGAAGAAAATAAATAGTCTGTATTATGCACCATGTCCACTCATACTCTAGATAAACTAGAAGCAATCAATCAGAAAGCAAAATTGTCCATTTGTCTGAAACAAAATGTCTAATTCTTTATTGATTGTATTTTGTTCTTGAAGATATAACCATATGGTTGCATGACTGCATTAAGCAACAAGGCTTACAGTCAGTTACACATGTCAAACATTACAGATGTTAGTCTAAATAATGAGTTTTAAAAGTTCATTCTTCAGCACTGGATAAAGTAATGTTCACTTTTATGTCAGTTAATAGGTTCTTTCTTCTGAATCACTGTAACAAAAACAGAACTAAGGCATAAAACCTTCAAAAGTGCTCTCTGTGCTTTGACAATTCATACAAATAGTGGAGGAAAATTCCCCCAAGTTCTAAGTATTTTGGATAGACCACTGGCCTCTGATGTCAGGAGAAATCACATCTTCTCTTCTTTTTTGAAATATATAAAAAAGACTAACTGTCCAGTATGCCATTTCTCCAATTAAATGATGCATTTGAACCATGGGTTAATGTCTTAACTGGTGGGTTAATCATCTGCCATCTATTCTCCTCTTTAAGCTCTTCACAGAAACACATGCCCAGTGAAGGTATCTGGGGAAAAAAACAGAGATTGCAACAGGACTTTGTATTAGAACTTTCCTGATAGCACTGGAAATGGGGAAGACACACCATTGAAAGCACAGTGTAATTAAACAGTTTTCATTTTGGGACAGGGGGGTGTACCTTAAGAACATTTTAGGAAAATAGGTTAATATAATCTCTCACTTGACCTAACATGAACCAACAGCACAAGGGAGGCCAATCTGTTGGGGTATGTCTACACTACCCCGCTAGTTCGAACTAGCGGGGTAATGTATGCATACCGCACTTGCTAATGAAGCCCGGGATTTGAATTTCCCGGGCTTCATTAGCATAAGCGGGGAGCCGCCATTTTTAAATCCCCGCTGCTTCGAACCCCGTGTAGCGCGGCTACACGGGGCTCGAACTAGGTAGTTTTGTAATGGAGCTGTGCTTTCCTGAGGTGGACCACACAACACCTGGGAGATAATAGGCAGGGGACACAGTTACCCATTTTAGTGATAGACAAATTAAGCCACAGAAGGGGAGATTTTCAAAGGCACACCTGGTAGTTAGGTGTGCACCTTCCAGTAACTTCCAGTGGGAATTGGGTGCGATAGTGTCTTCGAAATTCTTCACCAGAAAGGTTATGATGTGCCCAAGGTCACATGTCAGTTCACTGGTAAAACTCACATCCCTTGATGACCAGTTGTGCATGAGAACTACGGAATCAAGCTCCCTATGGAGTCACAGAGTAACTCTTCTAAGTGAGCAGCTGAAAAACAGACAGCCCATTGCTTGGTATACTGAAAATATACCAAGGAGAAAATGGTGAGCAACAGCTTTCTGTTGGAAAAGCTTCTTACCTTTCTAACCAATGTGGCAAAATCATTGCTGTCTCTGGCTGGGAGCCCTAGTACAGGTCGAGTGAAGGAGTCCAGAGATGAGCCATGACCCACTATAAGGATGATACCTGATATACCAAAATAATTCAAGGAAAGAAGAAAGAGCACTGTAACTTTACAATTCAATGGGTATTGGTTATTCTTCTTGGTTAGTTTTGCATTGTTCATCTTTGCCGAGATGTGTGACTTATAGACTGGGCAAGTGTAAATATCCTGCTTGGTATGTTATATTCAATTCAGGTAATGAGAGAAAGCATTTACTGGAGGGAGAAGGAGGATGAAGCTTCCAAAAAGAAAAAAAGGAAAAGAGAAGAAAAGAAGCTTCCTTAGATTGTCAAGTCACATCCAAATGATTTAGCAATGGAGTATTTTACTGCCTTATGTTTAATCTTGTCCATATATTTATATATAATCTCACAATGTTTAACAATCTACCTTGAAGATAGGGCAATACCAAGCCCCTGCACTAAATATATTTCATATGACAGAGCTGGTTTTGGTCCTGTCATTGAAATCATGAGGCACTGAACACTAGACTGTGAAATACTTACCGTTGCTTGTACAGTCACTGACAATCTGGTTTATAACTGCAGAGCATCTGCTTACATACGCTTCATAACTTTCCAATGGCACCAGGGAGGAAATTGGGAGAGTACATCTGTTAATAAAAAACACAGAGGACTCACTCATGTAGGTCACACTTTTTGTATATTGAGACATTGTCAATATTATCAAAGCTCAGTAAACAAACTGGTACCTATACTCGATCTTTAACAGAGCGACTGCACTTATCTGAAGCAGGGCACTTCAACTCACACCAAACCATAGCTCTCTCTGGAAGTAGTCTCACTGAATCCAATAGAAGAACTCCCAGAATCAGAAACTACCCAAGGTAAATAAGGGTAAGAGAAACTGTCCCGTAGTAAACTTCATAACGGATTGTGCAGTTTATAAGAAATATACTCCAGAAATACCTGTGTTTGAAAAATAAATCCAAAAGTAGTCTCTGCCACATAAGAATATATATATAAAAAACCCCATTGTCCAGGTAGGCTGATTTTAGGTTTAAAAACTGAGCCAAATCCTGAAGTCCTTACTCAGTTCTTACCTAAATAGAACTCCTTCTGACACTATTAGGACTGATTCTAGGATTTGGCCCCTTGCCTTTAGTGTCCCTTTAAAAATCCCCACCTGAACCTGCTCTGACAAAATAAATTAAACAATCAAACAAAATTCTTGATTGCTTTGTACGGAAAATTCATTTTGATAAAGACCAGTGAGAATATTTAATAATACTGAGCCAGCTTTAGGATTTGGGGCAGTTTTACCTCTAAAATCTGACCTTATAGTTTCTTTAACTTATGGATGGCTCCTGCATGAAAAAGACAGTGTTTACAAATTAAGGCCCAGATCTTCAGCTGCTGTAAATCAGCATGTCTCCACTGAACAGCTGCAGTTTGGGGTCTGCCATGATTTATGGTTCTGCCATGAAGTGTGGAATAAAAGGACAAAGGAAACTTTTTCTAACTTTACTATTTCTTCCTATAAAGTCACCTCTCCTGTTAGCTGGAGAACTGCACTGCTACATGTTTCTCTGTCACATGCAATGACTGTATTCCAGGAAACTATAGCAGTCAACTTCTTTCAACCACATATATACTCAGAATCTGATAATCTTATCTCAGCCATTTAGCACCAGTGTGCAGAATAAGCAGTGAAGAGGTATGAAATACATTGATGTGTTCTAGGGCTATTGTACCATACCTACCATGAAGTACAAAAGTCTTATTGTGTAAATTAATTTCAGACTGTCATCAGAACTTTTACACCATGGGGTTATCACTGAATCAGAGATTCAGCAAACTGGTAGAGGGTTAAGTGTATCTACTCTGGCTATGTCTATACTATGAGTGTTCTCAGCAAAAAATGTGCAAATGAGGGACCATTTTTGCCCTGGGGTTTTTGCACAGAAACCCCAGCGCAAAACAGATTGGCAGAAAATATGCAAATGAGATTGTTACTAATGCAAATGAGTCCCTCACTTGCATATTTTTTGCTGAGAACTGGTAGTGTAGACTTAGCCTCTGAGTTTACAGGCACCCATTCAACATAGTATCTAAGCACTAATTCAGAAAGCAGGGAATAAATAGTAACTAAAAACTTGTGAGGAGTGCAGATGTCACAGTGTGTGATCATTAGTACAGATAGTTCCCGGGTTACATACAAGACAGGGACTGTAGGTTTGTTCTTAAGTTGAATTTGTACGTAAGTCGGAACTGGCGTCCAGATTCAGCCGCTCTACCCCAGGTGTCCCAAGTCAGCTGCTGCTGAAACTGATCAGCGGCTGATTCCAGGAAGCCTGGGGCAGAGCAGCTGAGGAGCGGCGCTGTGGGACCAACCGGCAGTGCCCCAGCTGCTCTGCCCCAGGCGCCCCCAGCAGACCAGGGAGACGCGGAGCAGCTTTTCTCGCCCCGGAGGACGCAGGCGGCAGGACCGCGGCGCGTCTGGGCGGTCCCGCCGCCCGCATTCTCCGGGGCAAGAAAAGCCCCATTTGTAAGTACGGATCCGATGTAAGTCGGATCCGTGTAACCCGGGGACTGCCTGTACTAGAGCATTTTGTGTGTTACAATAGTGCCAAGAGGCCCCAAGTGAGATCTAAGCTCCATATTGTATGTACGGTATATTGAATATATGCGGAAGCAGTCCTTGCCCCAAGTAGCTTGCAGTCTAAACAGACAAGAAAGACCAAGTGTGATAGGGTGGTAGAGAGGAAGAAGCAGAAGTTTCAGCAAGGAAGGGTTTAGACAAAGCACCAGGAAGTCAGTCTAGGTGCACATGGCTAGAATGGTAGCTGTAGTTGCAGCTTTTCTAAAAAAAAAACAGTTTTTTTAATAAAGAGCCAATTTTGTTTTAGAAATATGGAGATCTCTCATATTATTATCCAGCCATACATGAAACATCTGAGGCAGGAAGCTGTACTGTTTTTATTGATATACAACAATGTGTATATATATAGTTTGTTTAGATAATTCAGTAGCTGATTGGCAGCAGTGTTGCAACACTTTACAGTTTTCCCTTCCACTCATCAAATGCCTTACTCATCTTCAATCATAGCTTGTCACTGCAGAATCTTATATTTTGTTTGGAAAGGAAGAAACTATGGCAAATAGTAACTTTGCAGTGAATACATTTGGACCGAGGAAAGTGAAAAGGTTGGCCTATTCACTCATTCTGAAACTAAGGATTTTGCTCTTTGTTGACAGATACAATAAAGGTGCAACCCTTTTTTTTTTACTTGTCCATGCCCGGGAAACCCCAGAGTTATGGACCTTTATTAACCAAATGATTTTCTGGATTTGACCATGCACTGCAGATGCAATGCAGCATGGCGCCATGAGCAAGGTAACATGCTAGAATAGATCCAATGTCTGTCTTCATTTCCTGTTCTGCTGTGGTTTACAAACATTTACAAACTGCACCAAACCACAGAACTGTATTGCAGAAGACAGGGACCAGAAAAGGAGACTTCACCGAGTGCAGTGATTATTTTTGAGCAAAACAAAAATTTCCACAGAATTTAATGCAGACATTTATTTTAATAGAACATTAGCATCCTGGCAAACTATGACTATAAAATGACAGACACCTTGCTTTCTGTTCATCTCTCTTCTCCCAACATCTTTGGGCTGTCCCGGTTCTTACAGCTCCCTGCTCCAGTGTGTGTTGAAAAGGGGCACTGGCTGCCTTATACTTGCCATTTTTCTTAGTATTGAGAGTCACATGTGGAACTGTGCAAATCATGACAGCTTAGGAGATCAGGCAACATCAGAATCCCATCTTCATTCTTTACTCTGTCTCCACTCTGACACAGCCCACAGTGGCACAAATTCTGAAGTCCTCAATCATTTTGAGCTGTGCATCAAGGAAAGGACTTGACCTCCTTCCACCAAAATACAATACAATTCTTTCTTGGTGGAAATGTGACAGGAGAGAGGAATTTATTTTTACACGTAACAATACATGGCTCATGTAGGTTTTAGTTAAAAATTGAAAGAAAAATATGGATGCCCATCATGTGAGTCTAGATAATCAGTCATAGGCCTGATCTTGCAAAGTTAACGTTGATGCTATTCACTTTAATAGGAGCAGGATTCGGACCTATGCATGCACTCACCCATCCATATACACATAAGAACTATTTGCCTGTTAGTGTGTCACCTTACCGGTGAATTATGTAGTGAAAGAAATAACTATATCTGCACATCCTAATTTGGGATCGAATATATAGGCTCTTTTTTAGCCCTTACTCTTTCTGTTGAAGTCAGTGACCTAAATCCTGAATCATTCATTTTTGCAACACTCTCTTGTGGGATTTAAGAACTGCCAAAACCAGGAGAGGTATTAGAAATACACATTAACATAAAGCACGTGCAGCGTTTACCTGTAACTGGTATCTATACTGTGAGTAGTCTCTGTCAGTTCTGTCAGTGCCATAAAGGAGGGAATTATTTTGCAGGCCTCCCACTTGGTCCATTCAAAGAGTCCAGGTTCTACCCTGATTTTAATCTTTCGCTCTAATTTAAGCCCTGCAATAAATAAAAGATTTTTAAAAAGGGAAAGTGCACTCAGAGCTTTAAACTTTGACTGTACATGGCACCTTCTTACTGGTAATAATTTTATTAACAAAATAAAAATATAATGTACAGCAAAGACCATGAAGCACAAATAATGTTGACTCCATCAAATCTCAGTCCTTTTAAACATGCTCCTCTACGTGCATAAACAATACTTTGTAAACTTCCGAAGCTAGCAGTCTGGAAGGGGTGAGGAGCAGAAGAAAGTATATTATATTCTTGCCAGAGCGACTGTAGGTATAAATTCTCGAACGATTATTTGTGGAGTGATACCACTGTATTCTGTGGGGTCCAGAACAAAATGAAGACATGGACTTACTCTTCAGAGGTGTTACAGAGTAAGTAAGTATCAAGAAGAAAATTGTTTTAAGCTGTTTTTATATACCATGTAGCTCACTGGGCCTAATCTGAGGAGTAAATCCAAACCCATGAACATAGTGCTAAAGAAAAATCTCTCTTTAAAGAGAGGCAGCCTGAGTTTTCCTCTATATTCTTAAAAGGCCATACTGACATATGAATTCCCAGCAGAAAATTAGTATCCCTTCCCAGTTCTGGAAACCCAGAGTCCTATCATTAATACTTTTTTAATTTAAAAGAATTTTTTTGGTGATCTATCATGCGGAATTCTTCATTTTTTAAACTAGTTTTGTTGACTGTAGGGTTGTTTTTTTTTAAACAAACCCTCTTGTTAACAAAGGCAGCCTTCCAGGAGAAAGTCCCAGGTTTCTTTCCCCAGATAGCTGTCCCTCAGTGTAATGGAAACACTTGATTTCTGGACCAAAATCATTTATGGGAGAGATAACAATTTGAGTCTAGCCAATAAGTTAAATTCTACTGCATCTAATGCCTTTGTCTTATACAACATTAGATTCCATTTCAACTTTATTGAACATGATTCAATTGAATATTATTTTACTGTTATAGTGGGGAAACTTTATTTCTTCTTCACAGTGTCACCTAGTCCTTGCTCCTAGATAGAAATATCTGTCAGCACTGATTAAAGGCAGAAGTAAATATTCAAAATGCCATGCAGCATTTTAGCTTCATTTCTGTCATTGGCTTTGAAAAGGATTGACTCAGAAATGTCCAGTATATAGGGGTGCCGACAGCCTCCATGGGACCCTGGTCAAGGTGGGAGTGACCGCTCCATGCTCCTGGAAGGGGTGGGGCCTCAGGCAGAAGGGGTGGGGCCGAGGCAGACAGCCCTCCACTCCACCTGGAACACAGGGTGCACCCCCCGAATCCTCAAAGCCTCCTGGAGCATGCTGTGATGGTGACAGTTTAAAGGATCCGGGGCTCTGGCTGCTGTCACCATTGCCACAGTAGCAGAGTCCTCTTTGAATCGTCAGGCGCCAGGGCAACTGCCTCTTTTGCTCCCGGCCCCCAGCGACAGGCCTGCCAATGGGGCAAAGAAACAATCATTTTGCTAACCTACCTTCTAGCAGGTGTTGAGCTGTCTGTATGCAGCGGAGTGCTGGGGAACTGTATACATAGCTAACTAACTCTTCTTTCTCCAGCAGAGCTTCTCCTGCAATACACGAGAGCTACTCTTTACAATCATTAGTACAACTACCAAATATTTCCCACAGATATTAGCTTGAACTTTACAATAAACTGACCTTGAATGCACTCATGCCCCTCATTAATTCACTTTCTACAAATATTCTGGTGAACAAGTCCACTAGCAGGAATATTTGTTGGAAGAGGAAATGTTAAGTAAATATTAGAAATACAGCCACAGAAAGTAAATTCTAAATTTGTAAATGGCACTCCGGTGCATTTATGGTAGACAGAGAAAGACAAGTGTCTGCACCACAACCCAATTTCTGAGAACGATGCTTATCAAAACTAGGAACTTAAACACATCCTGTGATAGGTGTATTCATTCTAACTAACCAGTACAGCCCAATTATCAATTGCTCACAATGGACAGCTCTCACACAACCTACAGATGAATAAACTGTATGTCCTGCCTCCCTTTTAGCCAGCCAGCAGAAATGCTACAGTTCATCGCTCTGGATTCAGACTAGAAGCCAAATGTTGTGGCATACTGCTCTGACCCTTTGCGGCCATAAGGTGGCAGGCTGGCTCTTGCACTACATGAGTAGCTGGCCCTGCTCCTCCCCCTGTTGCATAGCTCCCACATGAAAGTGCAAGCTCCGGTTCCTGCTATCCATAAAGGAACTCTTCCCATTTACACTGCCCAGAAGCATTCCTATGGTAAAGTCACAGTAATACCTAACTTACCTACAAGTCTAGACTGGAAAATACCACAGCATGATAAAGGAGGATCACATTCAAAAGGTTTGATGCCATCTTTTCGTTTTGGCAGGCTGACAGGGAAGTTCAGATCTGCTCTGTGATATTTTCCTAAAACAAAACAGAACCCTTCATCTCCATATATAAAGGCACGAGCAATACATATGTACACATTTTTGATATTCATGCACACACTAAAAATTCTGCATTTTAGGCTGCCATTTCTGAAAATCGGACTGTTAGTGTCTCTGTTGGTGAAAAAAGTGAGTGATTCCACTTTAGGGATACTGCACTTTGCATTCAACAAAGCAAACCAAGGAAATTGTTGATGCACTATGGCCCAGTCTCAATTGGTTCTGGGAAAGACGATAAGGGAGAAAACTTTCTGACAGAATGACACAGCTCTGAATTTCAGAATATCAGAGCACCAGAGAAAATATATGGCTGACACCTGCTCTTAAAACTCCCCAGAGACTTATATTCCCTTCAGAGCCGTGGAAACTTTTTTTTTTAACCATTGCCAAAGTTATAAAAAAAAGCAATGTTTTCATTAGCAAAAAGAAAAGGAAATAATGTACAAAATTCAAGGTCTGAAATCAGACATCTCGTCTGATTCCAACAGAATCCGGGAGATCACAAGCAAAACACAATTCCTCTCCCACCCTTGCCCCCAAATATATAGTTGTTTCATGTTGAAATCATGTTTTCAAGGCCAAACACCATTCAAACATGACTTGGCATCTAAGTCAGTGTTCACATCTTCTCATTTCTCCACAAAATCTCTTTGCTTTTGCTCCAGTTATTTGTGACTGGGTTTGATTAGCAAAGTATCATGATTTTGATCAACAATGTAAATTTGAAAAACTATGTCAACCAGCACAAAATAGGGAAATTTGGGCATTAATCAAATCTGTAAATTCCTAAAAATGCTGATGAAAAATTCACGTTTGGCATATCATCTTGAGACAAAAATGTAAAGTTTCACTCAGCTGTATTATGACTACTTAGGAAATATAGTGACATCATAAATCTCGAATACAGTAGAACCTCAGAGTTACAAACACTTTGCAAATGGAAGTTTTTAATAACTCTGAGATGTTCATAACTGAGCAAAACACTGTAGTTGTTCTTTCCAAAGTTTACAACTGAACATTGACTTAATACAGCTTTGACATTTTCTGTGCAGAAGAATAAGGCTGCTTTTAACCATCTTAATTTAAATGAACTAAGCACAGAAAGTTTCTTTAACTTGTCAAACCTTTTTTTAAAAACTTTATCTTTATTTTTAGTAGTTTATATTCAATAGAGTACTGCCTCTTTTTGTCTCTGCTGCTCCAAATGATCCGTGTGATTGACAAGTCAATTCATAACTCTGCTGTTCATAACTCTAAGGCTTTGTCTACACTTCTAAGTTTAAAGTGCTGCACTAGCAGAGCTTTAAGCAGTGTGATCATGACACTAGTTTTGAGAGAGCTTCTTCTCATGTAAGTGATTTACTTATGGTACTGGGAAAGCACTAACAGAACAGGGGGTTCAGCTCGTAGTACTGAAAACCTGATTACACTGGCGCTTCCAGTGCTATAACTTGCTGCAGTCAGTGTGGGGGTTTTTCACACCTTGAGCACAAAAGTTACAGTGCAGTAACTTGTCAGCATAGACAAACCATAAGGTTCTACAATAAAACTTTATATGACACTACTAAACTTGTAGGAAGGGCATTTCTAAATAGCTGCTTTCTTCAGCACTAAAGTTTGTCTGGTTTATAGACATCTACAAGTAATAATTTAGACTTTACACATCAGTACTATCATGGTACAATATTTTCTTTTCAGTCTGGTATGCCAAGGGCCAATCCTCCCATGCTTTTACTTACCATCTGCAGTTACACATTGCTGGATCCAGGCCTTCCCA